TGAAACTACCAAGATTGCACGAGTTTGCAAAAGAATAGCGCACCTAGTTGGCAGGCACAATCTACAACAACAACAACAACAACAACAACAACAACTACTACTACTACTACTACTACTACTGTTACTACTATTACTATTACTACTACTACTACTACTACTACTACTACTACTAGTTGTAGCATGATGACGAGGAGGAGGAGGAGGTTAAAACTAAACTCTCAAACTTGATGAGCGCAAAGCTCATGCTTGGACGTGAAGCCCCCAAGCTAAGTTTAAGGTCTGGAGTTGAACCCTAAACGCCAAACCTAAACCGCGAAGTCCGTCTTGATTCCTGAGGGCACCCCAAGCAGCGTCGATGCCGTTCGGCGCGCCAGGCGGCTGAACCTCCATGCAACCTCAAGTTTCCAGGCTTTCGGGATTTTGAGGCTGCAGGGCTTCCCTTACTGGAGTCCATGACATGGTTGCCCTACGTATTGGTACGATTATCGGTTGCTCGCAGAGGTTTTGTGTTGCTTACAGTTGAGTTATTGTCATTCCTGGCTTTGGAGATGCTGCTCGCGGACAGGCATGGGCTTTGTGCCCGGAATGCCACAGATGCTTCGGGCTTAGCATTGGGCAGCCGAGAGCAAGGGAACGAACCAAATCCATTGTATGGAAACCAAAGCAATCCTTGCTTACTTTGTAACCGGGCAGCATAGCATTCTACAAACCCCTGTAACTGTAATCCCGGACTCCAGCACCTCGTTTGAAGATTGTTTTAGTCCCTGCAGGTGCGAAGACGTGGATCCTTTGGATTGATTCATTTCGCCACATGACCTCGCAGTGCCAGCGTTGCCCCATGTTTGGCAGCGGCCAAGATGGCTAAGCACAATCAGTACCCAGGAATGCTCCAATGGCGCTTCCGCAGCTGCAAGTGCCGACCGTCGTTATGGGAGGTGCCGAATGATGGTGTTCAGACTTCCGACCATCCTCGTTCATGTACGTCGTGCCTGACAATTATCCCGAGCATTGTACACGATGTGCACGAGCAGGGCTAGCTACTAGATGCCGAGATGTGTTTTCTGCTGCACACAGATTCTTGCCAAGTCAACTTGACACCCTGAACCCCAAGACCACTATCCGCTAGTCTTCTGGAATGATGTTGCTCACTTGAATTCCAATCCTCGCTCCACACCCTAAACCCTAAACCTTTATCCCTAAACCCTAAATCACACCCGACAAGTCCCAAACCGAAAAACTAGAGCTAACGCCCCCGCCACAGGCGCGCACCAGCTTCCAGGAATAGCCGTCCAGCCAGGGCAGAGACCTCAAAAGTCGTTGCCCAGCCTCGGTGTATAGTCACTCTTCTTGGTTCAAAGGCTTGGGCTTCGTGGCAAGGGAAGGCTTGAGGTGGAGGGGCTCAAAACCACGAAAGCCCAAAAATCCGGAATGCTCTGCACGTGGGCTTCTGTATCATAGGGGCCATAAGAATCTGATTGGAATAGGGCTCTGGGGGAATATGTTGAAACATGCAAAGACTCCTAGATTACAGGTATCCGTAGCGTCGTCTGACGGGTTGGAGCTGTCTAGATAACGGCAGAGAGCTTCTGTGTTTGGTTCTCGAGGAGTCTCGGTGTCGTGTGCAGGAACAGATGTAACATGTAGGGGCCTGAAAGATGAGCTATAATATCCTTCTTGACACTTTGTTCTGATTCTGAATGCCCCTATATTGGCACTCCCGGCTGCTATCGGATCCGTGCTGTCCTCGTAAGTGTCATTGAGGGACTCCGTTCTAGTGTGTCCTGTAGCTGCGTGCCCCCGTCGCATCTCGTTTGGTGCGTCCGTGTCTCTTCTGTGTCCCCCAGTCTCATGTCTTTGTGTTTTGTCCTTGTGATGTATGTCCTACTGCTGTGTCTTGGCTTCTGCGCTCGTGTCCTGTCGCTGAGTTCATGCTTTTATGTCGTGTTTCGTATCCCCCTCGCATCATATAGCAACTTAACAATTCACTACGCTAAGATTTGGCTACAACTCTACTAAACAAAAGCGCAAGGAGCAAAATTAGTATTCATTCAGCCTCAGATATTTTTTTAAAAACTGTAAGTTTACTGAAGGCCCCCTTCTCTGGTCCTAAACCTTGGGGAGTCCAACCTGGAAGCCGGAGTCCGAATGCCCGATGATGGTGGCTAACCCTTCTGCCCCAAACCCTCTACCCGGAACTGGGGGTTTAGGGTTTAGGGTTCACTGTGGGGGGATTACCCCAAAAAGAAAGGGGCTTAAGCAGTTAAGACTATCAGTCCTTCAGGGTCCCTTCGTAGAATCATAGCATCACATACTCCGACAACCCTATTCCAATAATCGGGGCCCGGACACGACGCCCAGGAAGCAACTCTAATCCTAGAAGCTTTATAGACTTTTTTTTTAAGCCCCTGAAAGAAAGCCTGTTCTAATTGTGAAGGCAACGGTTGAGGCCCTTCATGACGACTCTTACAGCAGCCCTTATAGCAGCCTCGAATCCAAAAACCGGCACCCGAAAACCCTGACACCCAAAGCCCAAAACACCCTATAAACCCCCCATAAATCCCCGCATAACCCTGAAGGGAGCCCTTAAACGACAACCCTAAACCCTAAACCCTAAACCCAGAACCCTAAACCCTACACCCTAAATTTAAGCCCTAAGCCCTACACCCTAAACCCTAAACCCTTAAAGGACGCCCTCAAAGAGTGAGGCCGTTTGGTTCTCCGATGCCGATGCAGCCTGGGTGGACTGTGAGGGCCCCGAGACGCTCCTGCGTTTACTTGCGTTTGGGGTTTAGGTTTGGAGTTCAGGTGTGGGGTTTAAGTCTTGGGGTTTAGGGTTTAGGGTTCAAGGTTTGGAGTTCAGGGGTTTGGAGTTTAGGGGTTAGGGGTTTAGGGTTGAGGGGTTCGGGTTTAGGAGTTTGGAGGGTTGGGGGGTTCGGGTGTAGGAGTCTGGAGGGTAGAGGAGTCTGGAGGTAGGAGTCTCGAGGGTGGAGGGGTTTGGGTTCAGAAGTTTGGAGGTTTGAGGATTGGATGTAGGATGTCGGGGTGGTTGGTTTTTAGAGGTTCGAGGGTTTGGGTGTAGGATCTTTTCAAGTTTGGAGTGGTGGGTTGTCTGGCCTTTTGTAGGCTTGAGGGTGTGCAAGGTGTGCGTGCACTTTTTGGTATGGGTTTTGAAGTTTTCGTGACGGTGGAATCGCTTGGTGCTTCAGTTGCTACCGGGTGATTGCAGCAGTTTCAGCTTCCGTCTCCTTGACATTCTTATAATTATTATTGTTATTATGACCAGCATCCGAATCACCAGTCCAGAATACTGAGCCTTTGTGAGCTCTTGGGTAGGCTCAGCCGCGCCTCAGGTGCAGCTCTTGCAGCAGCAAGCCGGTGCGACTCCCAGAGTATGAGTAGTTGATGGGGTGTAATGTAGGGGCCTCAATAGTTAGAATAGGGGTTTTGGGGCCCATTATACTATAATCACAATAAGGAACCCCCCCAAAATAGTATTTGTATTAATTATTTAGGCCCTTTCATTATGTGTGACTACTATTTCGTTTTTGCAGTTACTGGTTCAAGCTTCTGTGGGTTTTGTCTGACCGAGAAGTATTCATAAGGCTTTTGGAGCACACGCCCCAACACGCCCGCACAACCTCAGCGCCTTCAGTTCTCATCCCTCCGCGCTGGATGACAAAAGCAATCAAACCGTGAGCATGAAACCTCGAAAGCAGCTAACCCGAAGCCTTCGTAGCCTTTATGGTTTGGGGAGTCAGGTATGGGCGTGACAGCGCCCCCTCAGTGAGCCCAGCCGCGGCTCGAAAAAGGTGCTCAAGTCTTTCGGCAGGGCTTCTCGGATGCCCAGGAACTGTGGTTTAGGGTTCAGGGTTTGGGATCCCAACGCCCTCAAACTCTAAGGGCTTTAGGAGGGACCCTTAATAGGGACTCTTGTAGGTTATTGGGGTTAATATGGAGACTACCTGGCTATATAAGGGGGATTTACGGACTCTACAATGGTTCTTGAAGGTAATGGGATTAAGGGTCCCTATTAGGGGTCCCTCCTAAAGTCCGTAGACAAACTTAAGCAATGCCGGAAGCCGGCACTGGTCTCATGAAGTTCATTGAACAGAACTTCCTCGAAAGTCCCATTGCCACAGACGACCTTTCGTAGGGCTTCCGAGGGATTCCTATCGGGCGCTCCCTGGCCCTAGACCCTAAGCCCTGAGCCCTATACTGGCATTCTAACTATGAACAAGGCGGAAGGAAAAGAGGCGTCAAACAAAAAGAACCCTGAACCCTACACCCTGAACCCTAAACCCTAACCCATAAACCGGAATTCGTAGGCAGAGGTGCATGTAGGCTCCAGGATAGCTTGCGCGGCTTGTTTTCAAAAGGGGTGGAGCATCTCCGGGGGCTTCGCGGTTTAGGGTGTATGGTTTAGGGTTCAGGGTTTAGGATTTAGGGTTCAGGAGTTTAGGGTATTTAGGATTTAGGGATTTAGGGATTTAGGGTTTAGGCCATCCAGTAGTGGAGTTCTGCATGCCTGTGCACGCGCGCCTCAAGACCGGGCGGTTCAGTCAGCCCATCACGGCAGCTTCGCATCATGCGTAAGGTCACCTCTGTTGCAGACTTCGGTGCCTGAAGTCGATCTGACTCTCACATCTAGGCTGCAACAAGTAAGTAAACTCCACGATTTACGCGTCAGCTCTTGCAAGTACTGCTCAAACAGACAGGTGTTTTTTCAAAGCACACCTCGTAGTCCATGTGACCTGCAAAGCAGACGTGGGCCACCAGGAAGCTGCTGAGCCTTGCCCTGGTCGCAGCCCATGTAGTGACGTTTACAGGATTTTGGAATTTTATATGCTAGGGGGCTTGGGCGATGCGCTATCGTAAGTTGTGACTGTGGTGGGCAATTCGTCGTCTTCATCGTGCAGCCTGCGCGTCGCGTTCGAAACTAACGTAAGCACAAATCGAGCCACGCAAAGTCGACATATTAGCAGGTGCCAGCAGCAATGCAGGAAATTCGTAGAGCAGATTCCTCATTTGATCGCCTCCAGAACCCTCTCCCCGTTCGACCATGACCGCGAGGATGGTGATGGTGATAGTGGTGAGTGGTGATGATAATGTTGATCACTGCGGCGATTGTTACTGGTGGTGTTGCTTCAGTCTTGTTGGTAAACCGTCAATGCGGTGGCTACTACTTGTATCAGGTTTATACCCTAAACCCTAAGTCCTAAAACCCTAAACCCTGCACCCTAAACCCTGATTCAACCCTAAAGGAGCCCACTAAAAGACAGAAGCCGCAACCCTAAACTCACAGCCGCACACCCCTAAACCCTGAAGGCACGGAGCTAAGGACATGGCGAAGCCACATGAGCCACATGACCGATGGCAGCACATCCAGTCCTTCGCCATGGAGTCCTCCCGACTCATGGTCCCTTGGACTGGGCTATAGGGGCTAGGATTTGGGATTTGGGGTTTAGGATTTAGGTTGGTTTTTATGTTAATTGGGAGGCTTGTCTTTTATAGTATATGTGTGAGCCCGGGCGACATTCACGTCATACGGCCCCAGTTTGGCAGTACAACAGGCCATGGCAGCAAGATTCACAGGTGCAATGCTGCGGATGCACTACATTCACTGATTCCAAAGAAATCACATCCTTTAGGTCCGAGGCTGAAAACTCAGGGCTTGGGCTTCGATATGGAAATGGAGTTCTGGCTTTGGAGTTCTGGTTTGGGGTTCAGGGTTTCAGCTGTCGGAGTATACAGCGTGCATATCACGGTGCTGAGCCTTTTGTTCGATCTCACTGTCGCCACCTAACCGCAGACCTCTGAACCCCGAGCAACCCGGCTGCTAAACCATTGAAGCAAAACGACAGAACAAGGTTTCAAGGACATCATTGCCCAAGCTAGTTTCGATTTGGAACTTCTGTGACCGAGGAATTGCAGGTGTCCCTCCTACAAGCCTACCTGGGCCACCTTGGCTTGCACTTGAGTGGGGGTGTGCCATAGGCTTTGAGGGTTTGGAGTCCCGTGACAATCTCCAGCGCGCCCCCAGAAATACGGCACCGCCAAGCCCTTAAACCTAGCCCTAACCGCCAATTCCTAAACCTCCAAAAAGCCCCAATATACGTGGTAGTGGTCGTGTGAGTGATAGTAGTAGTAGTAGTAGTAGTAGTAGTAGTAGTAGTAGTAGTAGTGGTAGGAGCAGCAGCAGAGGAGCAGCAGCAGCAGCAGCAGTTGTTGTTGTTGCTGCTGTTGTTCTAGTCATTCTAGTTTCTCTATTCGTGGTGGTGGTAGCAGTACCAGCAGTCATCAGAATGTTTGAATAGCAAGTGCTAATGCTGAGAAAACAAGAACAACAATAGATAGCAATAATAAGTCCAGTAAGGTTCATACTACCAGTAGGAAGATACATGAAAGACAACAATAGTCGTCATCATAATCACACTGATCATTTTGAAAACAAACAGCCGTCATATTAGTGGCAGTATGCCTGGATACAGCTGAGGCCAGCAAGTGGAATGGGACCGGGGGCTCGAGGATGCCACCAAAAGCGTGGAGGAGGCAGTGGAGCAGGCCGGGTCGGCTATTTTTCTGTATCAGAGGGGGTGTTTGTGAGGCTTACAGGAAACCGCAAGCTCCTTGTAAAGGGAAACCCTAAAGCCCAAACCTTAAATCCTAAACCCTAAACCCCAGAATAGGGTTTTGTACCTTCCGCAGCGTGGATTCTGCCGACCTTAACTGCTAGGTGGAAAAAGGTGCTCAAAAAAAAGCCCTCAACCCCTTTCATTGTGGTTTCATGATGGTTTTGACCGGGTTTTTATAGTGTTTCTGAGCGTTTCATGAACTTGGGTTTCCCTATTGGGAGTCCCAAAACAAGGATCCGAACCCAACAACTGAGGACTAAGGCCTCCTGTCTTCTGAAAATCCCAAGTCGGGATTTCGGACGTAATACAAGGTTTAGGATTTCGTGCTGTGAGGTTAGGATGGAGGTGGGGGCCCGGTGGGGGCCAGTTCCTGGCACTTGGATTCCACCCACGAGGACCGGAAGTCCTAAAAAGCTTGAGCTTGTCTTGCAGGTGTGTGAGACCATCCACGGCCTCCAGCTGCGATTGGAAACTGGGCCTGAACCTGGGGTGGGGGAAGGGCGTCGAACTTGCGGCTCTTTTCTGTGAGACCTGTGAGCGGTGCTGGGGAGGGTCTTTGTGGAGAGGGTTGGTGGATTTTTGTGTCCCCATATCGCTTCCTTTGAGGCTCCTCCCTTGCTTCCAGGCCTTGGTGGCAGGAGTTTAGGCCTTTTCTGGTGCGCTTGCAAAGGCATCGGAGTCCTTCAAGAGTGAAGTACCGACCCAAGTGGTGTCGCGAGCACCAGAGATGGAGGAGCCGTGCGTCCAAATTAAGCCCTGCTGAGTACTTCAATCTCAGCTCTAGAGTTCAGGACCCGAAGGCAAAAGCTAAGCTTCCTCAAACCTTCTATGTAGTAGCCCGTCCAGTATCCGTTATAGTACACGTATTCCGCGTTTTCCGAGGCTCAGTCTAAACCCTAAACCCTGAACCCTGCACCCTAAGCCCCCACTGCAGCTTCGCAGGACTCCAACCTGGATGACAAAGAGGCCTGGCAAAGCCAGCACAGCCGAAGCTCCGAGCCGTCTCTCCGTGCAACCCTGCAGCCCACAAGTAGTATACCATAACACTCATAACACACTAAGCATTATACAATACAAGATATTATAATGTAATATGATGTAGTACCATATGAAATAATCTAACCTCAAGCTCCAGACTTGTTTAAGCTCCTTGAACCCGCCATACTGCCCTGAATCCTCAAACGCATAATACCCTTGTTCCCCCAAACTCCACAAGCTTAAATCTCAAGAAAGCGCTCTGAAACCTTGCAGCCTGGACCCTAAAACCTTAAATCCTTAAACGCCATGAGTGGATTTAAGCAGCCACAAGCAAAATTCCCCGCATCCAGACCAACACGAACAAACAAGAAGAACGCACCCACCGAAAGCCTAAATTTAAACCTAAACATGCCAAGCCACCATAGTAAAGCCCAATCAACACCCGAGCCCAACATCGCCTCACCTCAACCTGAAATAACCTGAAACCCTCAAAGCTAGACCCGAAGTTCGAAGCCCTCACACCCTAAACCCTGAGTTCGAAGCCCCCAACCCAAGCCCCCTCAACCCTAAACCCTGAGTTCGAAGCCCCCAACCCAAGCCCCCTCAACCCTGAACCCTGAGTTCGAAGCCCCCCTCAACCCAAAGCCCAACAAAAAGCCCCCACCGACAGAGGATGTCAGTTTGGGCCAGCCCATCGAGTCTCTCGCGCTCGGCGACTTCGGCTACGGCTTGGGAACGTCGGAGTTGTCAGGACTTTTACGTTTAGTTTCTATTTTTTCTCTTTGGTTTCTTGGGCTTGGGTTTGTATTGTTACCTTTCAGTGTGGACTGGCTTTTGTTTTCTTCGCTTTGGGGTTTCCTTGTCTTTTTCAGCGGGGAGGTGGGTGGATTTGGGGTTCTGGGCATTAGGGTTGCAAGTTGGAAGTGTTCGAGGCCTCGGGCTGGACGGGTTTGGCGGCTAACATCCACTAGCAGCTTCGTTTTATAATCCTTACGTAGTTTGGGCATCCATCCCCCCGCAGAGCTGAGCAATGTGCCGTAAGGACACCCCTAAACCCCGCGAGCCCTAAACCCTAAACCCCGAAACCCCCAAGCCTTTGACGGAAACCCTAAACCCTAAACCCTAAACCCTAAAACCCTAAACCCTAAACCCTAAACCCTAAACCTTAAACCCTAAACCCTAAACCCTAACCCGGAAGCACTCCGCAGGACGGGCCGATGAGCCCCCGGCAGAAAGACGGCCTAGTCTTGGAATGCAGGAGCCCTCTTCTGAAGTTTTTTTCACAGGCATAGGGCTTGGGGATCGCTTCTAGAATTTGAAAGCCCATCGGGGCTCTACAGGTTAAAGTTTAGAGATGCAGTGCTCTTGTGTTCATTGCATCCCAGATCAGACATGGCGTTCTTTTCATGCGTTGTCCTAAACCCTAAACCCTAAACCCTAATGCCCTAAACCCTAAACCCTAAACCCTAAGCCCTAAACCCTAAACCCTAATGCCCTAAACTCTAAACGCAAGGAGAGCATTGCGAGCGTGGCTGACAGCTTGCAGAGCATCGAGAGCGACCCGTGGGGTGCTTCTGACCCCCTACGGCAATGGCTTTCAACAGCAGGGCCTATTGCATATTATATTCGAGTACATTGGACATGCCTATTTTTCATACATATAGATATATATGGTATCTTTTTACATTTTTGCAGATCGTAATACATCATTTTTCACGGGGTTTAGGGTTTAGGGTTGTTCCCAGGGTTTGCGTACAGGCGTGGTGTGCGGGTCGCCCTTCTTTTCGTAGCTATTTGTGAACCATGTTCCCCAGTCTTAAAAAGCCTACTCTATGAATCCTAAGCCGCCCAGCCACCGAAGCCCCAAAATTTCTATATAGTAAAGACGCCTAAAAGATTAGTAATACTGGTTTTCAGAGTTCCTCCACCCGAAGTCCGATCCTAGTTATGAAGGCCTCGGCCCCTGTAGTATGCGCTTGTAGTACCTACCTTATAGACTTATGGTAACCCTTAAAGAACCCATAACAGGAACCCTTCAATCCCCCTGTTCTGAGGCCGTCTGCCCCTATGGCGTGCTGAACCCGCACTGGGGACTCAAACTTGCTTGGGACTTTATTGTGATGTTCTTGGCGACTTGGCCGGCTAGGGTTTAGGGTTTAGGGTTTAGGGTTTAAAGTTTAGAGTTCAGGGTTTAGGGCTCTTTGTTGTGATGTTCTTGGCGCCTTGGCTGTGTAATTTGGGGTTTGATTTTGTGGATTCTTGTCGGGTTTGCAAGCTTTTGCGGAGGCTTTTCAGGGTGTTACCAGCGGGAAGCTTTGTTTGTCAAAGGGTTTTTGTTGTGTATAGGTGCTTTAGTTGTGTTACCAAGCGTTGAAACTTTGAGTTTGTTGGGTGGTGTAGAGGGAAGCTTGCAAGTGTTTTGAATTTTGGATTCACCCAACCCCACTAGAAACTGAAAGCCGATACTGTTGTGCCTGTGATCTGAGGTTTTGATGGATGCCACCGTCCTGCCCTTTCAGCTCACCTTCAAGGGAAATATGGATGAAGATTCCTTTGACCTTGCCTGGCTTTGGATCACCACCCTGATTTTTGGCATTGATGTTGCCGCGGCCTTACCACGGCAGAAAAAGATGGGAACGCACAGGTGAAACAGAAGGAAAGCCATGCGCGTGAGTTGCCCCATCCACAGGCTGCTGTTGTTGCTGTTGCAGTTGCTGTTGAACTTGCTACTACTACTACTACTACTACTACTACTGCTACTACTACTGCTACTACTACTGCTACTACTACTGCTACTACTACTGCTACTACTACTGCTACTACTACTCCTGCTACTCCTACCACTATCACAACTCCTACCACTGCCACTACCACTACCACTACCACTGCCAGTGCCGCTGCCAGTGCCACTGCCAACAACAACTACTACTACTGCTGCTCCTACTACGACTACTAC